ATCCATCCACAAAAGGTCCTATCATAAACCACTCATCTCCTGCAATCTACTTTGACCCTCAATCTTCACTGCCAAACCTCTTTTTCTCCAGTTATGATGGAAACTCAAAAATGGGTAAATATCATTGTAATAACACATGTGCTGATGATAATCCATATTGTTTCAGCTGCAAAATCCCTCTCAGAAGCTGATAGAATAGTAAACTTACCAGGCCAGCCACCAGTCAGTTTCCACCAATATGCCGGGTATATAGTTGTGGATGAAAATCAGCAGAGAGCTCTCTTCTACTACTTTGCTGAAGCAGAAACAGACCCAACTTCAAAGCCTCTTGTTCTCTGGTTAAACGGAGGTAAAGTTTCCTTTGACCTCACCCAACTGTATCCCAAAACCTAGATTCATTCTGGGTCTTCTTGGTTATACTTTGGAGCTTTAATTGCTCTGCAGGGCCTGGCTGTTCATCGATTGGAGCAGGAGCTTTCTGTGAGCATGGCCCTTTCAAACCAAGTGGAGACATTCTGGTCAGCAATGCATACAGCTGGAACAAAAGTAAACCCATCAATATTCAATCTTGTTTCCTCCCTGCAAATTTATCAGTAGGAAGACAGATAAATGATAAACTAAAAAACTCAAGTTTATAATCGGATTACTTTGAATTCCAAATGCGCAGGGGCAAACATGTTATACCTGGAGTCCCCTGCAGGAGTAGGCTTCTCCTATTCTGCTAACAAGTCTTTCTATGCCTCGGTGAATGATGAGATGACAGGTTTTTTTTTTTTTTTTTTTGCCAATTTCCATCTGCAACATTCTTCATCAAATTAGTTCGAAAAGAACTTTGCTTTGAACACTTCAAATTGAATTTAGTTTCACCTAAAACTGGTTCTGAGGTTTACCTTTTTGAAGCACGAGACAATCTGGCATTCCTCCAGAAATGGTTCACCAAATTCCCAGAATACAAAGGCAGGGATTTGTTCATCACTGGTGAGAGCTATGGAGGTATGCGTCCATAATCCTTCTACTTTCATTTCAAACTCAAAGAAAATTTTGGGAAGAAGATGAAGGAGCACTGAGAATTCTGCTTGTTACCAGGTCATTATGTTCCCCAACTTGCAGAACTCATTATTCAATCGAAAATCAAATTCAATCTGAAGGGAATAGCAGTGAGTATTCTAAGTAATTCCTATGAATCATTTGACTGAGACAATAAGCTAAAAATATGCTATCTGCAGATTGGAAATCCTCTTCTGGAATTCAATAACGATCTCAACTCACGGGCAGAGTTCCTTTGGTCACATGGACTAATATCAGATGCAACCTTTGAAATCTTCACATCAGTCTGCAACTTCTCTCAGTATAGAAGGGAGAGTTTCAGTGGCTCTCTTACCCCCGTTTGTTCTGGAGTAATGAATCAGGTTTCCAAAGAAATTAGCAAATTCATTGATGTGTATGATGTTACTCTAGACGTCTGTTTACCTTCAGTTCTTGCGCAATCCGAGACTTTGAAAAATATGGTGAGACTCAAGCTCCATCCATTGATATTGTCTGCAACTTCTTACCTCTGCATTCTACTAGCTAATACTGATTTCTGATGCTATTTGAATGATTAAATTCCCATGTACAGCCAACTAGAGAGGGGGTAGATGTTTGTGTAGAAGATGAAACAGTTAAATACTTGAACAGAAAAGATGTACAGGACACTTTGCATGCTCAGCTTGTTGGATTGAATAGATGGACTATTTGTAGCGAGTAAGTATGTTAACGATGAATTACAGATTCAAGAGCATAAATCAAATAAAAAATGAGAAAGCTTTCCTAGTTCCAGTTGTTTAACTTTTTCTGTGAATGACAGTGTCCTCAAATATGAGATGCAAGATCTAGAAATACCTACCGTTCATGTTCTAGGTAGGCTTGTGAGGTCAGGCATCCGGGTTTTGGTTTACAGGTAATTGAGAATCTTTATTCATGGGATGATTTTACTTTGAACTCATGCACGTAGAAGAAGGAATCTGAGAATAACTTTCAAATCTTTGTAGTGGAGATCAAGACTCAGTCGTCCCACTAACTGGAACGAGGAGGCTAATTAATGGATTGGCAAAGGAGTTGGGACTGAACACAACATCACCATACAAAGCTTGGTTTGAAGGAAAACAGGTTGCAGGATGGACACAAGTATATGGTGATATATTATCTTTTGCCACCATTAGAGGAGCAGCACATGAAGCTCCATTCTCACAGCCAGAGAGATCACTTGTGCTGTTTGAGAGGTTTTTAGCAGGAAAGCCACTGCCAGAAGCAGAAGATTTACCATTTGTTAAGCAAATGCATCCATAAACAGCATGGATTATGTCTATTAAACTAAAATTCTCAAGAAAAGCAGACCTCTAGCATACCCTCCATATTGAGTCTGTTTATCAACCAGTCATTGCAATCAAAGTTTCTGCAATCCAAATTCTCAGGTTAAAAATCCACTCAAAGTGTCTATAAACAGATGCATGTTATTATTGTCCTGTTGATCATTTGCACAGTAGATAAACTTGATTCTCCTACCTCAATCCCCCTTTATACTGGATCTCCAGACAGGAGAAAGAAATTTAAGAATAATGCATCACATACATAAGAAATTTAAGAATAATGCATCACATACACTGACGTTGAGCATCATCATTTCATCTAGATAAAAGTGGAGCTTGCAAC